CTGTTTACTCTGCTCACATATGATTGTGCAGCTACCCATCCAGGCTGTCACATTGTAAAGTTTGCAGATGATACAGCGGTGGTGGGATGCATCACAAACAATGATGAGTCCAGCTACAGGCAAGAGGTGGAACACCTGGAGAGCTGGTGCAGAGAGAATAACCTTCACATCAATGTGAAGAAGACAAAGGAGATGATTGTGGACTTCAGAAGGAACAAAAACACCTACACCCCCCTGAACATAAGAGGATCTGCGGTGGAAGTGGTCTCCAGCTACAAGTACTTGGGTGTACACATGAATGACAACCTCAGCTGGAGCAACAACACCACCAGCCTGATGAAGAAAGATCATCAGAGACTCTACTTCCTCAGACGGCTGAGGCGAGCTGGTCTGGAAGCTCAGTCCTCACCTCCTTCTACAGGTGTGCAGTGGAGAGCATCCTGTGCTCCAGCATCAACGTGTGGCATGGAGGCTGCACAGCTGCAGAAAGAAAAGCTTTGCAGAGAGTGGTGAAGGCTGCACAGAAGATGTTGGAGTCAGTCTCCCCACCATCACAGACATCTACACCTCCAGATGCAGGAAGAGGGCCACCTGCATCATGAAGGACCACCCTCACCCAGCACACACACTTTTTGCCCCGCTCCCCTCAGGAAGGAGGTTGAGGAGCATTAAGTGTAGAACCACTAGACTGAGGAACAGCTTCTACCCTGAGGCTGTTAGACTCATGAATCTCTAACCAGAATAATCACTGTGAAAAACCACATCATGTTGCTGCTGATCTGTTTCATGTTGCTGCTGATCTGTGTCATGTTGCTGCTGATCTTGTCATGTTGCTGCTGATCTGTGTCATGTTGCTGCTGATCTGTTTCATGTTGCTGCTGATCTGTGTCATGTTGCTGCTGATCTGTGTCATGTTGCTGCTGATCTGTTTCATGTTGCTGCTGATCTGTTTCATGTTGCAGCTGATCTGTTTCATGTTGCTGCTGGTCTGTTTCATGTTGCTGCTGATCTGTTTCATGTTGCTGCTGGTCTGTTTCATGTTGCTGCTGATCTGTTTCAATGTTGATGTGTTCATGCGTGCACATCTGCTCACAGACTCATGTTCATGTTTGTGGTGATGTTCAATGTTTTATGTTATGAGTGCTTAGTGTATATTTAGTTGATGTTTTTCTTAGTTCATATCTTAGATGTTATTACTGTTTTTCTTATACATTTTATTGTTGGATGTAACTGGGACCCTGTGTACATAATTTCACTCCACCACATGTACCACATGAGGTGCGAATGACAATAAAGAAACTGACTCTAATCTGTGATAGATTACTAATCCCAGCTGAATCCAGGCTTCCAGTGCAGTCTTGAGAAGTGTCTGTTCCAGATTTGAACAACTAGTTTTACCAGACGACGTTCTGTTTTCTAAAACTATACAAACTTTAAGTTGCTCAAAGGAACGGGGCGTTTAACTTGCAGCCTGTTTTTAAAAGTATACATCAATAATCCAGGCAGAGTCCACGTTTCTTGTTTTTACCACCTGGTGCTCAACGTGCGAGTGCTGCGATGGGAAGACGATCACTTTCTTCACGTGGAAACGTTTGAGTATAAAGACAAACTGGACCTTGGATCATTTTGATGCCGACGCTGTTTTGTCTTGATGTTTAAGTCCTTTGCTCCACGAACACACGGGGGGATGTTGGTCACTACTGGCTATAGGTGACATCATCGTGCGTCTCAACCAATGAGAGCCTTTCGACAGCAGATGGAACAAATATAGTCCAGGCCCTTCTATACATTGTTGTCTCATAAAGAGATCATTTAAAAATATTTAATGTCATCCACAAATTTCCAAAAGGCCTTCTGCAGATCTTTAGATGTTTCCACACACCTTTTTTTTTTTTGCCTCCAAATGCATGAGTCACTTTGACGACTTGTCCATCTGAACAGGTGTCACTTGTAGAAGTGTCTTTGAGGCTCAGTGTGATTAATCTGTGTAAATAAAGCTTGAATGAAATTTACATATTTCAGATCTGATAGTTTTTAAGATATGTAATCCTGTTTTCTTCTTCGTCCCACATTGTAGCAGAATCTAGTTCTTCATGGTAATGATTCAGGAGGACAAGCTCTGGTGAAAAAACTCAGTCCAGTTTGTTGTTGACATCCAGAACCAGCTATTCACATCAGTCTAACGACTGATCTTTAGTGCCCTGATGGCTGCTTACTAGAAAGAACAGCATTGTAAGAAGGGGGCAGTTGGACACAGAGACCTCCACCCCTGTTCAAAGATGGACGGGTTCTCTTCACAAAGATGTATTCTTTTAGTCCTCAGTTCAGTGTTTCTGTCCTCTTTATGTAAGAACACGAAGAACATTGTTCTTTGTGTATATAAGAACATGAAGAACCTCAGTCAGCCCCCGGTGAGTAACAAGCAGCCATCCGGGCTCCAACAAGCCATTGTTAGGTTCTTACACGTGAGCAGCTGGTTCTGGACGTCAACAACAAACTGGTTGTTCCACTATGAGCAGGTGATATTTATAAGACTGACTTTACTGCAGCTCCTCAGACTGAAGAAGTCCTTTGGCTGAAAGACAGAACGTTTCAACTAAGAATTAGTCCAGAAATGTTGTAAATATTTGTTTTGTTGCATTGAATCGTTCATGCAGTAAACACACACACACACACACACAGTGTGTTCTGACGCCGCCCGCGGGCCTCCAGGAGAATAACGCTGCGTTGAGATGATTTGAGTTTGTAGAAATCTGCTTTGAAAACAAACGTACGTACGTTAAATATAGAGGACACAAAATGATGAGTAAAAATCTAAATGGTGCTGCAGTTAAAACACTCGATTAGTTTAGAACAACTAGTTCTGTCAAATAACGCATCAGTTTATAAATGTTTGAGTCAGAACTAAACGGACCGATGATTAGCACGAGCACGTGAACCTCGTAACGCAGCTGGAGTTGTGGAGGTTTTTAGACTGGAAGAGAAGAGTTGGTGCAGGACGAGGTGCTCTGACGTCCAGCTGGACGTTGGACACGTCTCTACAACCCTGTAGCTGAGCTGCAACATCTGGGCTGTGGTGAAGCACATCTGTCTCCAGAAGCTTCAGGACAGGGGGTGGCTGCAGGCGACTGGGACTGGTCCCAGACTGGAAGTTAATCACCCAGTAGCATGGTTACTCAGGGGAACGGTTCAGTACGTTAAAGTAGCTCTGAGGTGACGCCTGAATGAGCTGAACGTGTTCCCACGGTGCACCAGCAGGAAACCAGTAACACTTGATGGTTTTAACGTGGCAGAGGAGCCAAAGCTTGACGACATGTTTTGTTTGAAGTGTTTGCAGGTGGAGACGGTGGAGATGGTGGAGACGCTGCGCGCGGAGACCGAGGAGGATTCAGAGGCCGAGGTGGGACGTGGACGGTCCACACTTGTTCGCTCGACTTGTTCTAGCTGTGTCAGCATTAATTCTCAAACTGTTGTAGTTGTGACGTCGTCAGGTGCTGCTGGAACAAACTGCAGCTCCCATCATGCAGCAGTCCTGTCAGAAGACGTCGAACAACCCCGTTGCTCTGCTCCTGAAAGTGACTTGCTGTCGTTTTGAATGGTTCTGATGGAATTTGAAGGAAGTCGTTTTAAAACTAACTTTACTTTTATTTTGACCTTTGGACCACGTTGATGTTTAAAAAGCTTTATGCTTGGAACAAATCCAACAAAGGTCAATCTGGATGGTTTGTTTCTTGTTGAGACGTTTCGTCCTTCATCAGTCCGAGGAGACACAAACAAACTGTCCCACAAGCAGCTCACTCCCACAGTGGACCAACCAGTTTGCTGGCTGGGGCTGCCTGGGAGGAGTCGATGGTGGAGAGGACGGCCCCCAGAAACCATCTTATCACCAGCAAACTGGTTGGTCCACTGTGGGAGTGTGCTGCTTGTGGGACAGTTTGTTTGTGGCTCCTCGGACTGATGAAGGACGAAACGTCTCAACAAGAAACAAACCGTCCAGATTGACCTTTGATTTTTACCTGGATTATTGACCATGGACCTTAATGTTGATGAAACTAACTTTTAGCTGACCCTGTCAGTAATGGGGGGACCCGCTACAATCCGCTCCTGTCTAGAAGTAGCGGATCCTGCTGCTGTTGGGGGGGGGGGGGGAGGCTTGGAGCGTGGTTCTGTTGGCAGGGCTTGGATCATGGTGGGGGGAGCACTGCTTGCAGCCGAACTCTGTTTACTGCTTCAGACACAAGAGATTTAAGCTCACAGCATGTGGGCGTGGCCTTAAATGACAAAAGCATAATGTCGTCATAATATAGTCATCCTCTTGACTAGGGCTGCAACAATGAATCGATGGAATCGATGATTAAAAGCGTTGGCAACGAATTTCATTATCGATTTGTTGTGTCGCGCGATTATGTGTCTCACGGCGCTGCGGAGCCGTTTTGTTCACCTGCAGTTCATTGTCAATGCTGACTGACTGAATAAAGTTTGAAAAAAAAAAAAAAACTCTGCAGCACGAGTTGAACAGAGCGAGGGGGGAGCAGAGCAGAGGCTGTTTTAAAGGAAAATAAGTAAATTTGACAAATGACCGACGCAGCAAAAACTGTTCGACCCAAGTCCTTCAAAGAGTGGGAGAACTTCTTAAAGATAAAAACTGAGAAACATGCAGCTTTGAAAACTGACGACGCGACACGAGAGAACCACGCTGATAAATGTAAACATGTCGGAGTGACGAGGAGGAGGAAGGAGCTGCAGCTGATACAACTCTTCATGTGTTGCAGGTGAGTCTCCACAATTGAACACTTTGTTCTGTTTCAAGAGAGAAAACGTAACGTCAGTCTGTCTGAAGATGAAGCTGTTTGTTTGTTTGCTTGTTTATCTGATTAATGACGGTGATAGAGAACGTGTTACTTTTTATTTAATTTAATTGGTACAATCAGTGTTTAAATGTGATTTATAAATAAATCTAACACAAAGATAATAATTTAATGATTAAGCTTCAACTTTAAATTTGCTGGCAAAGTCTGAAGACACTGCAGGTACGGCAGGATGAATTGCATTTAAACAGGAATTAAAGTAATTTATTACATCTACTCAAATGTGTGTAATTAGGTATTTTATGTGTATGTAATTGCTCTTTTAGCTACTTTTGCCTGAACCTAACACTGTAAGTGAAACAAGGCATTTCTTGAGTTGCTGTAAATTATGCTATAAAACATATTTACTGTCTCATTCCAGAAAACAACAACAAACAACAACAGCACTTCATGATGGACAGACATCATGGACACCACAGCAGCAGCTGTCTTCACTGAAACATCCTGAACATGATCGTCACTGACATGAGGCCTCTGTCCATGGTTGAAGACGAAGGCTTCACTACAATAATCCACACTTTTAATCCAGGTTACAATAATCCACACTTAATAACAGAATAGTAAAATAGCAACCTGTTTCTGTGCGAATTTCTATCTCAGTCAAATGTTCAATTTTGGAATAAAGGGGTGGAAATTAAAACGTTTTTTTTTTTTTTTGCAGATTCATCGATTATTGAAATAATCATTAGTTGCAGCCCTACTCTTGACTCCGCCCACAGAACAAGAAGTGACGTGTTTACTCACGGACATCACTCTTGACGGTGTTTTCATATCAAACTGGTGCTTTTGCAAATGACACATTGGTGTTCCTTGTCCTCCTGGATGTCGGCCATTTTAATTGGTGTTTGTTCCATGTGAACGGGTTCCTGGTCAGCATTTGTGGGCGTGTCTTATCGTCCGTATTAAAAGGGAGCAGAGCATCAGTGCGGCGCCAGCTCTGAGTAACTTGTAGATGAATAGTTTGTTCCGAGTCACTCTGACGGTGTGAAGCTGTTCTGAAGGACGAGCTCTGAAGGTTCACTGAGACATCTTTCAGCTCGTTCACAAGTGCCATAGCAATTTTGGTTTTGGTGCAACTTTAGCTTTTTGAAATATTTAGCCTTTTCTGACATTTTTTCCTCAAGCTGAATTAAGCTCTTTTGACCTCCTTCAGATCTTTAGATGTTTTTACTCCTTTCACATTTTGTTCTGCTTCAGCAAATTTAAATGTTTTTCAGCTCATTTCAGCTGTTTGTGATCTTTTCAGATTCATCCATCCATCCATTATCTTTACCCGTTTATTCCATTTTGGGTCACGGGGGTCGCTGGTGTCCATGTCCAGCAATCACTGTGCGAGGGGCGGGGGACACCTTGGACAGGTCGCAAGTCCATCACAGGGACACATAGAGACATCTTTTCAGATTCTTTCTGCTAATTACATTATTGTGCTTCTTTTAACTTGTTTCTGCTACCCGTAATTTCAGCTTTCTGCTATTTCAGCTACTATTTAACTGTTATGCTAATAGTATGCTTTTTTATAACTGTTTATTGTTGTTGCTGTTGTCCATTGTTGTCATCATTCTTTGTTGAAATCAGGTCTCTCTTGTAAATGAGTCCTCGAGGCTCAATGGGATTTACCTGTAGAAATAAAGGTTGAATGATTGATTAATCGTTTTCAGCTAATTCCACATTTTTGGCACTCGATCAACTTTTTAGCCTACTTCAGCAAAATTGTGCTCTCACCTTTTGGTAATTTAAGCTCCTTTCTACCTTTTTTTTAACCTACTATTCAACTGTTTTTTTGTTGTTTTTTTCAGGTAATTTCCTATTTTTTATGCACATTTCTGTTTCTTTCAGCCTAATTGAGCACAATTGTGCTCTCTCCACTTTCTTCTGGTATTTTAAGCCCCTTTCTGCTTTTTCAGCTACTTTTCAGCATTTTTCGCAAATTTCGGCTTTTTAAGTTAATTACCTAATTTTTGTGCTCATTTGTTGCTTATTTAAACTAATTCAACAAACTTAAGCCTGTTCCATTTCAGCATGTTTTTAGCTAATTACAGCTGTTTTTCAGCAAGTTCTGCAATAAGCAATGACACAATTTTCACAGGAAATGACATTTCTCTAATGTTCAGTTAACTTTCCCTGTAAACTGGAACATGTGAACCTGTGTTCTGCAACCCGTGTTGCTCTTACCTGTGTTGCTCTTACCCGTGTTGCTCTTACCTGTGTTGCTCTACGTGTGTTGCTCTGCGACCCGTGTTGCTCTACAACCTGTGTTGCTCTACCTGTGTTCTACGACCCGTGTTGCTCTACGACCCGTTGCTCTACGTGTGTTCTACAACCCATGTTGTTCTACGACCTGTGTAGTGTTCTATAACCTGTGTTGCTCTTCGTGTGTTCTACGACCCGTGTTGCTCTACGACCCGTGTTGCTCTACGACCCGTGTGGTGTTCTATTACCTGTGTTGCTCTACGACCCGTGTTGCTCTACCTGTGTTCTACGACCCGTGTTGCTCTACGACCCGTGTGGTGTTCTACAACATGCATTGCTCTACGTGCTGCTCTACGACCCGTGTTACTCTACGACCTGTGTAGTGTTCTATAACCTGTGTTGCTCTACGACCCGTGTGGTGTTCTACAACCTGTGTTCTACAACATGTGTTGCTCTACTTGTTGCTCTGTCACCTGTGCGCTGCTCTACAACCTGTGTTGCTCTACGACGTGTGTGACCAGGACTTTTTGTTGACCCTCAGGTCGCAGCAGAGGGTTTGGCAGGACGGAGCAGAGCCACTTCAGTGGTAACATTCACTCGTGTCAGTCTCAGATTAGTTTGTGACGTTGAGTCGTGTCTGAACTTTGAACTTGTTGTTTGATGAGCAGCTAACGGTCATGGAGACCATGAAAACGGTTCGTAGATACCATCACTGTTTTCACACGCTGTCGTTCCATCTGAAGTATTTAAAGGTTTTCCTGCTCATCAGGATTCAGAGGAAGAAGAGGAGGCAGCAGAGGAGGAAGGTTCAGAAAAGGTTCAGTTTTCTTCTGTTACACACGTGTGTTGTGTCTGACGTCTGTTGTGAAACCTAAAGCTGTGGATGTTCTGCTGCAGAAGATCAGGGTGGGCACGAAGACCTGAGGGGAGGTAAAACACTGAGCCGTTACAATCTGACCGCTTCATGCTGTGCACGCTCCTGTGACGGTGTTCTGCATCGTTCCAGGTTACCGTGGGAGAGATGAGGAGATCTTCCCTGCTCGTTCTGGTTTGTATCCACAACACAAATGAAGAACGTGTGCGTTTGGAGCGGTGCACTGACTCAAGTCTGTCCAACAGGAGAGGACAAAGACCCAGAGAACGAGGACGCTGACAGTAAGTCACACATTAATCCTTGTAAACATGATCATGAAGACTCGCCACTTCTTCTGCTGATTGGAAATGGGTCCAGATGTTGACAGGTGTGGAGTCTGCTTGGAACCATGAACAAGGTGGTCCCGTAAACCGGAGGGGGGGGGGGGGTACTGGCAGTGAGCAGGTCCTTAACTAGTGTGGTGTGGTGCAGAACCAGTGAGCAGTGGTTCCCAACCCTGGTCCTCCAGGAACAAGATCCTCCAGGTTTTAGTTGTTTCTAGTTTGTCATCATCTAATGTTGGCGAGTCTTCAGTCCAGGCGTCCCTTGGCAGGATGTGGTACCAGGTGTGGTCTGCTGGCACTGGTTCCCAACTGAGGTCCTCCAGGAACACGGTCCTGCTCCAGCACACCTGGTTCAGTGGTTTAATTAGTTCTGCAGGAGCCATCCATTCCTTCAGGTGTGACGAGCAGGGGAACGACTAAAACCTGCAGGACCAGGGCTGTGGACCATCTGAGCTCCTGTAGCCTCTGGTCTCCAACCTGTCTGACCTTTGACCTCTGACAAGGCTGTGTCCACAAACGCTGCTCACTGGATGGGTTCCTGTTTTGGACCATTCACCAGAAACCTTGAAACGGTTGCAGAGTTTCTCCCAGTTTAGAGAGTTTCTCCCAGTTTAGAGTTTCTCCCAGTTTAGAGAGTTTCTCCCAGTTTAGAGAGTTTCTCCCAGTTTAGAGAGTTTCTCCCAGTTTAGAGCGTTTCTCCCAGTTTAGAGAGTTTCTCCCAGTTTACAGCGTTTCTCCCAGTTTACAGCGTTTCTCCCAGTTTACAGCGTTTCTCCCAGTTTACAGCGTTTCTCCCAGTTTACTTGTCTTGGCAGGGCGCTCATATTGTCCGTGATTTTTGACTGGTGGGGTGTGGAGTTGGAGACACGTGTGTTTAGTGTGCTGTCTTGAGCTGGGGGGTGGAGACCATGGACTCGTACGTACTTATGGTGGAAACGGCTCAGCGCTACCTATGTAGCTCTTTAGCTAGCACGTGCTATTAGCATGTCTGTGTTGCGTGCCACAACCTTAACGCTACGTCAGTGCCGTTGTTGATGGGAGGGGGTGGCGGAGTTGGGTAGGCAGGGCACTCGGCTGTGTCGACAGGGTGGTGCACCCTGCTCGTGTAATGGGAGTGGGAACATTGGGTTGTGTGTACAACTCCCAGTAGGTCATGAGGTTCTGAAGTGCTCAGACGCCAAGCAGCACACCTTGTTCAGGGTCGTTCTGTTTGACCTTCAAGCCATGTGGTTAGCTGATGGCGTTAGCATGTGGTTGGACGTGTGTAGCTACCGAAGTGGCTGCTGGGTCTTCATTTGTGACGTGAGCAGCTCTTCAGTCTGGTCATGTAAAGACGGTGGTTCTTGGGTTTTCAGCGTGCTTGTGTGAGAACAGGTTCTGTTGGTTGTGTCTTCAGTTGGGACTGGTCGTCCTCTTTGGTGCGTCGTCTTCACATGAAGGGATTTGTTTGTTTCACTTCTGGTTCTAACCCAGTTCCAGTTCTAAACGGGACAAACTTCAAGTAGTGAGTTTTATTGTGTTTCACTGTTTGTTGTGAACTTCAGGACCCAGAGTCACGTATGTTCCCCCCACCCTCCCTGAGGACGAGGAGTCCATCTTCTCCCACTATGAGACTGGGATCAACTTCAACAAGTACGACGAGATCCTGGTGGACGTCAGCGGGACCAACCCACCTCAGGCCATCATGGTAAGACTTGTAGATCTGTAGCTGCTGGACCCAGACTCTGAAGGATTCGTTCTTCATGGACCATTTCCCGGCAGACTTTTGACGAGGCCGGACTCTGCAAGTCCCTGGTGACCAACGTCAGCAAGTCTGGGTACGTGAAGCCAACTCCGGTGCAGAAGCACGGCATCCCGATCATCTCTGCTGGCAGAGATCTGATGGCCTGCGCCCAGACTGGATCCGGTAAAACGGTGAGATGAGAACTGAACCAGTATTCCACTGGACTGGGACTGTTTAAGACCTGCTGGAGACCCAGAAAAGGTCCAGGGCTGCCATGAACCGTAGGGCTGAACGATTCTGGAAGATATTCTAATTGCATTTTTTTACCTCAATATTGTGATTTAATTTTTCAGCGTCGTCTTCTCGTGTATTTCTCATCGAACACAAACAATACATCTGTTTTCAGCTAAAACGTGTGCTCGGGGCGTTCTGTGCCTCTTATCCACTGTGCTGACCCAAGCCGTAAACCCAGGCCTGGGCACTTATTAACGGGCGTCATGCTCGAGTTATTTCCACGTGCGTTTCGGATCGTGTTCGTACGGAGTAATACCTTGGCAGAGTTGGCTCAGTGGGCCCTGTCGGCTGCTACGTGGCGTACTTGAAGCTGAACACTGGTCGTTGCAGACGGCTCTGTGGTGTTACCTGGAGAGGAGGCAGGTTCTGCACAAGTCGTGTCGTTGAGCTGCGTCGTCTTTATAAACGAGCTAATCCCAAACCACGGACGCGCTGCCTCTGGTCCCAAACTGTCGGCTTCTGTCGAGCCTGACGCCACTGAGCCACCGGTTAAAGCTCGGCGTAGACGTCTCCCGCTCTGCTCCGCTCACTCGCGCGTCACGTAACCAGACCATGTGAGCAGTCAAATCGCAGCCTTTGTGATTAGAACATGTTTTATCGTATCGTGATGTTCTCGCGCCTTATGTTCATCAATATGAACTGTAAGTTTCTTCAACAGCGTTTCTGGACTTGGAACAGGAGCTGTCTGCGGACTGAGGCTCTTCTGCAGTTTTTGTGCCGTTTCAACAGTTCATGCATCAAAACGTTCGGCTCCTTCAGGACAGTCCTGCTACGACTTCTTGTACTGGTGCAACTTCAGCTGTTTCAAATATTTAGCCTTTTCAGCTATTTTTGTCTCATAGAAAATGAATTGAGCTCATTTTACGTCCTTCAGATGTTTCCAACCTTTTACTGCTCCGTTCACATTTTGTTCTCCTTCTGCTAATTTAAACTTATTTTTAGCTCATCTCACCCGTTTCTTCAGCTGTTTGTGCTCATCCTAGCTTCTTTCTGCTAACTACAACACTTATGTGCCTCTAACTAGAGCTGGGCCGATATCTCTGCAGGACTGATATTTTAGGCTGATGTAGGCGTTTGGGGACACATCTGTGTCGGTGGTAATTGTCCCACTATGAGCCGAAAGACTTGTAATTCTTAATTGTACAATGTATCCAGCAGAGGGCGCATGAAGACTACTTTAAGTCATGGACGTTCACTTAAGTTTCACTTTCAGCGCAGCCCTGCCTCCATAGTACTCCAAAGAAACCGCACAGTACCAGGCACGTGTGCGCTCTAGAGCCTGGAGTTCTGGTGGAGCCGACCAGAACTTGATCCATACTGGCACCGTGGAGACGCATGGTTACTTCAGTGGAAACATTTAAGAGCTGAAGTCCTGCTCTGTGTTCAGGCTGCGTTCCTGCTGCCCATCCTGCAGCAGTTGATGGCGGACGGTGTGGCGGCCAGTCGGTTCAGTGAGATCCAGGAACCCGAGGCCATCATCGTGGCTCCAACCAGAGAACTCATCAACCAGATCTTCCTGGAGGCCCGCAAGTTTGCTTTTGGGTACGTTTTATGTTTGTTTTAAAACAAACGCGCCTGTGGACGACCGTGTCCCGGACTTGAGTCTGGCTGTCCTCTGCAGGACCTGTGTGCGCCCTGTGGTGGTGTACGGCGGAGTCAGCACCGGACACCAGATTCGAGACCTCACACGGGGGTGCAACATGTTGTGTGGGACTCCAGGACGTCTGCTGGACGTGATTGGAAGAGGAAAGGTAAGGCTCTCTGTTGGACGTGGCTTTAACCTGGAAATGTGCCGAGTTGATCCACGACGGCTCGTTTCATCCTGACGATCAAACATGCACGTGTTCAACTTTTGGAGGGAGAATCAGCCGCACTGTTGTTTTTTATCACGTTAATAAGATGAAGTCAGTAAATATGACGTTCTTCTGACAAAGCCTAAAAATCCTAAAATGTGTTACTCACGCTGTCATTACGTCACAGTAACTTCACTACGTGCTGTTCCTGAGGAGACTCCACCTTAAGGCACGCTGTAAACCATCACAGTTCCTGCTTGGTAACCCAGGTATAAAATCCAACAGTGTTCAGTCGGCTCATCTGCACTGGCTCTCGTTTGTGCCGAGACGCGGCGTCCGTCATCCAAAGGACTTCTTCAGTCTGAGGAATCGCCCAGCAAAACTGATTCTCCACCGACAGCTTACTCCAAAGTGGGAAATAACTGACGAAACGTCTCGGCACAGAACAGATGAGCTGGCTGAACATTGTTGGATAAGCTGCAACTTGATCCCACAGTTGTCACATCAAGTAATGCGCTCCTCTAAAATGGTGACCAGACTGTGCTTCTGCAGCTCCTTTCTGTCCACCGTCATTCATACGCCGCTACAGGTATGAAGTCGCGGTCACGACCTGTGCACGGTCTGCTCCGGCTGTGTGCAGCGTTCTTCTAGTCCAAGACTCGGCCAGCAGCTGGTGTTCGGGTCACGTCTTCATGAAGCTCCACTGTCTGGCTCCTGGTTTCAAACATGATGCCTTTAAAATGAACACAAGACTTGTCCAAGTACAATCCATGGACAGAACCGTGACAATCACCTCACCAAAATTATTTACTGGTAAAACGCAGTGTTAACTGGGTCATGTGACTGGAAGTCAAATGGCAGTATGCTGTAAATATTCATTAAATTTATTAACAGCTGCTGTTTTTAAACGTACTTAGTAAAAACATGTGAAGTGATTCTGCTCAGCAGAGCTCATGAGGAGGAAACGACCCCTCTGGTTTTCCCTCTCCTTCGCTGTTTAATGCCCCTGTTCAAGTTTTTAATGAGGTACTGGTATGTAAACATATTTACCGTGCACACGTTGTTTGAACTTTAATTTAAATATGTACGCGTCTTGACTGAACGTTGTAGGACCTGAAATGATTTGTAAAGATGGAGTGGCTTGAACCATGCTGCATGAGCTCCAGTCACATAAAGGGAGCTGGCTAACTAGCTTGCTGTACGGTGGCCTAAAAGGCCAAATTGTACTGTGACGGGTGGACATGTAATGTGATCTGCAGAACGCTCGGGAGTAGAGCAGGAAAAGAACAACAAACACATTTTAAAATGGATTGTGGTGCTTTCAGAGTCACCGGGACGAAGAATGTAGATTCTTAATGAACGTGTTGTTGTCTGCACCCCCACGGTCTGGAGTGGGCTTTGTCCTTAAATGAGGTGCTGGATGTTCCCCTCAGGAACACGCTCATGAAGTTAAAGAACAGTAGAAAGGTTCAAGTAGGTGGAAGCTCTGAAGAGCTTCATCAGCTCTGGTGAGTAGATCTGTCTCCTCTTTGTTCACAGTGATGAGTGTTTGGCGTTTGTCTGCAGGTTGGTTTGAGTAAAGTGCGGTACCTGGTCCTGGATGAGGCTGACCGCATGCTGGACATGGGATTTGAGCCAGTCATGCGCCGCCTGGTCGGTTCTCCTGGAATGCCGTCCAAAGAGAGCCGTCAGACCCTGATGTTCAGCGCCACGTATCCTGAGGACATCCAGAGGTCTGCTCCCTGACCCACCACAGGGTTTAACCACGAATGATGTTTGAATGATGGAGGTTCTGGGTCTCGCAGGTTGGCAGCAGACTTTCTGAAGGCGGACTACCTGTTCCTCGCCGTGGGCATTGTGGGCGGAGCCTGCAGCGACGTGGAGCAGAAGTTTGTTCAAGTCACCAAGTTTGACAAGAGGGAGCAGCTGCTGGACATCCTGAGGACCACCGGTGTGTGTGTGGAGGAAGGGTGATGTTCTCCTGGTACTATAGAAGGTTCTGGGCTCATCCGGTTTTCGTTCTGGTTCCAGGATCGGAGCGGACCATGGTGTTTGTAGAAACCAAGAGGCTGGCGGATTTCATTGCTGCCTTCTTGTGCCAGGAGAAGCTTCCCACCACCAGCATCCACGGGTACCTCAGAGCACCGGAGTGTCCCGTAGATTTGGTTCTGGTGGACTCTAACTGGGTCGTGTGTTTATTTTCTGGCAGGGACCGTGAGCAGCGGGAGCGCGAACAGGCCCTGGCAGACTTCCGCTCCGGTAAATGTCCCGTCCTGGTGGCCACCTCGGTCGCTGCCCGTGGTCTGGACATTCCAGATGTTCAACACGTGGTCAACTTCGATCTGCCTAAAGACATCGATGAGTACGTTCATCGCATCGGAAGGACTGGTCGGTGTGGAAACACTGGGAGGGCCGTGTCCTTCTTTGACCCGGACGTTGACGGTCAGCTGGCCCGCTCCCTGGTCACCATCCTGTCCAAGGTACCACGTTCAGAACCGGACGTTGTTAGTCTCAGGCTGAAACCACATCTGGCCAGGCCTGACATCAGTGCAAGGAGAAGGTTTTGATCGGGGTGGGGGGTTGAGTCCAGCCTAAAATCAACCATGTGTTGAACATCTACAGTAAATACAGTAAAGTGTCCTTTAGTGGTGGAGTTGGACTGCACAGAGAACACCTTCAGACGACCTTCAGAGGACGTGGAGAGAACTGAGCCTCAGTGCTGCAACTGCTGGAACATTTTCATGTTGAAGCAGAGGAGTCGGAGGAACAGATCTCCCTGCAGCGCTGCAACGGTCACTGCGCTCACATGAGACCACGTGCTCATGACGGTCCATCGGACTCGGGGCGCGTGGCTCGATCCAACGATGATGCCCACTCCGTAGTTTAAGCTCCATCCAACGATGAGCTAAAGTGGAGGCTGAAAGAAAAGAACACAAAGTAAAAGCTGAAAGGAGCTAAAGATTACGTAATCAGACGCTGCACAGATGTAAAGTAGCTAAAAGCTAACTGTAGTGAAAGTGATGTGACGCAGCAGCTGAAGGCTTCATGAAGCAGTTGGACTGATGTTCTGGTTGCTCTTCCAGGCCCAGCAGGAGGTCCCGTCCTGGTTGGAGGAGTCCGCCTTCAGCGGTTCTGGGGGCTCTGCCTTCAACCCGTGCAGGAAGCCCTTCGTGTCCACAGACAGCAGGAAGGTACGGCAGCTTCTCACGGGCTTCAAAACTTTTCTTCTTCAGTGTCGCCTTTAGCTGTTCTCAGAGAACATGGAGGTGAACAAACACGTCGGGGTGACTGGGCCTAAACTGGACCTGGCGCCACCCCAGGCTGATCCTTGTCCTAAATGTTGTTGTTCAGGCAGACTGTACCTGCTGCCGCCTCTCAGCATGTTCTCACTTTGTTCTGAGTTTGTTCTCGGCATGTTCGCAGCTTGTTCTCAGCATGTTCTCAGCTTGTTCTCAGCTTGTTCTCAGCTTGTTCTCGGCATGTTCTCAGCTTGTTCTCAGCTTGTTCTCGGCATGTTCTGAGTTTGTTCTCAGTTTGTTCTCAGTTTGTTCTCAGCTTGTTCTCAGCTTGTTCTCGGCATGTTCTCGGCATGTTCTCAGCATGT